TTACGGGCCTCCCATAGCTGCTGCCAGGCCCCTAATCTGCCATGGGCCCCTGTACCGCCTCCTCATGCTGCTGCCAGGTCCAGTGTCTCTCTCATGGGTCCCTGTACGGCCTCCCATTGCTGCTGTCTCCATCGCCACACTCTGCCATGTGCCACTTTCAGGTCTCCTCACACACTGCTGGTGTGTTCCATTTTTTGTCATAGGGTGCTGGCAGATTACGGGCCTCCCATAGCTGCTGCCAGGCCCCTAATCTGCCATGGGCCCCTGTACCGCCTCCTCATGCTGCTGCCAGGTCCAGAGTCTCTCATGGGTCCCTGTACGGCCTCCCATTGCTGCTGTCTCCATCGCCACACTCTGCCATGTGCCACTTTCAGGTCTCCTCACACTGCTGGTGTGTTCCATTTTTTGTCATAGGGTGCTGGCAGATTACGGGCCTCCCATAGCTGCTGCCAGGCCCCTAATCTGCCATGGGCCCCTGTATACCGCCTCCTCATGCTGCTGCCAGGTCCAGAGTCTCTCAGGTGTACGGCCTCCCATTGCTGCTGTCTCATGCCACACTCTGCCATGTGCCACTTTCAGGTCTCCTCACACTGCTGGTGTGTTCCATTTTTTGTCATAGGGTGCTGGCAGATTACGGGCCTCCCATAGCTGCTGCCAGGCCCCTAATCTGCCATGGGGCCCCTGTACCGCCTCCCTCATGCTGCTGCCAGGTCCAGAGTCTCTCATGGGTCCCTGTACGGCCTCCCATTGCTGCTGTCTCCATCGCCACACTCTGCCATGTGCCACTTTCAGGTCTCCCTCACACTGCTGGTGTGTTCCATTTTTTGTCATAGGGTGCTGGCAGATTACGGGCCTCCCATAGCTGCTGCCAGGCCCCTAATCTGCCATGGCCCCTGTACCGCCTCCTCATGCTGCTGCCAGGTCCAGAGTCTCCATGGGTCCCTGTACGGCCTCATGCTGCATGTCTCCATCCACACTCTGCCATGTGCTCACTTTCAGGTCCTCACTGCTGCTGTGTTCCATTTTTTGTCATAGGGTGCTGGCAGATTACGGGCCTCCCATAGCTGCTGCCAGGCCCCTAATCTGCCATGGGCCCCTGTACCGCCTCCTCATGCTGCTGCCAGGTCCACAGTCTCTCATGGGTCCCTGTACGGCCTCCCATTGCTGCTGTCTCCATCGCCACACTCTGCCATGTGCCACTTTCAGGTCTCCTCACACACTGCTGGTGTGTTCCATTTTTTGTCATAGGGTGCTGGCAGATTACGGGCCTCCCATAGCTGCTGCCAGGCCCCAATCTGCCATGGGCCCCTGTACCGCCTCCCATGCTGCTGCCAGGTGTCTCCAGGTCCCACAGTGTGTCTCATGCCATGTGCCACTTTCAGGTCTCCTCACACTGCTGGTGTGTTCCATTTTTTGTCATAGGGTGCTGGCAGATTACGGGCCTCCCATAGCTGCTGCCAGGCCCCTAATCTGCCATGGGCCCCTGTACCGCCTCCTCATGCTGCTGCCAGGTCCACAGTCTCTCATGGGTCCCTGTACGGCCTCCCATTGCTGCTGTCTCCATCGCCACACTCTGCCATGTGCCACTTTCAGGTCTCCTCACACTGCTGGTGTGTTCCATTTTTTGTCATAGGGTGCTGGCAGATTACGGGCCTCCCATAGCTGCTGCCAGGCCCCTAATCTGCCATGGGCCCCTGTACCGCCTCCTCATGCTGCTGCTGTCCAGAGTCTCCAGGTCCCACGCCTCCCAGTGTCTCATGCCATGTGCCACTTTCAGGTCTCCTCTCACACTGCTGGTGTGTTCCATTTTTTGTCATAGGGTGCTGGCAGATTACGGGCCTCCCATAGCTGCTGCCAGGCCCCTAATCTGCCATGGGCCCCTGTACCGCCTCCTCATGCTGCTGCCAGGTCCACAGTCTCTCATGGGTCCCTGTACGGCCTCCCATTGCTGCTGTCTCCATCGCCACACTCTGCCATGTGCCACTTTCAGGTCTCCTCACACACTGCTGGTGTGTTCCATTTTTTTCCAGGGTGCTGTCAGATTACGGGCCTCCCATAGCTGCTGCCAGGCCCCTAATCTGCCATGGGCCCGGTACCGCCCTCCTCATGCTGCTGCCAGGCCCCTAGTCTGCTCATGGGCCCCTGTACGGCCTCCCATTGCTGCTGCCTCCATCGCCACACTCTCTGCCATGTGCCACTTTCAGGTCTCCTCTCACACTGCTGGTGTGTTCCATTTTTTGTCATAGGGTGCTGGCAGATTACGGGCCTCCCATAGCTGCTGCCAGGCCCCTAATCTGCCATGGGCCCCTGTACCGCCTCCTCATTGCTGCTGCCAGGTCCACAGTGTCTCATGGGTCCCTGTACGGCCTCCCATTGCTGCTGTCTCCATCGCCACACTCTGCCATGTGCCACTTTCAGGTCTCCTCACACACTGCTGGTGTGGTTCCATTTTTTGTCATAGGGTGCTGGCAGATTACGGGCCTCCCATAGCTGCTGCCAGGCCCCTAATCTGCCATGGGCCCCTGTACCGCCTCCTCATGCTGCTGCCAGGTCCAGAGTCCTCATGCTGCTGTACGGCCTCCCATTGCTGCTGTCTCCATCGCCACACACTCTGCCATGTGCCACTTTCAGGTCTCCTCACACTGCTGGTGTGTTCCATTTTTTGTCATAGGGTGCTGGCAGATTACGGGCCTCCCATAGCTGCTGCCAGGCCCCTAATCTGCCATGGGCCCCTGTACCGCCTACCGCCCTCCTCATGCTGCTGCCAGGTCCCAGTGTCTCTCATGGGTCCCTGTACGGCCTCCCATTGCTGTCTCCATCGCCACACTCTGCCATGTGCCACTTTCAGGTCTCCTCACACACTGCTGGTGTGTCCATTTTTTGTCATAGGGTGCTGGCAGATTACGGGCCTCCCATAGCTGCTGCCAGGCCCCCTAATCTGCCATGGGCCCCTGTACCGCCGCCTCCTCATGCTGCTGCCAGGTCCACAGTGTCTCATGGGTCCCAGTGTCCTCCCATTGTGCTGTCTTTCATCGCCACACTCTGCCTGCCACTTTCAGGTCTCCTCACACACTGCTGGTGTGTTCCATTTTTTGTCATAGGGTGCTGGCAGATTACGGGGCCTCCCATAGCTGCTGCCAGGCCCCTAATCTGCCATGGGCCCCTGTACCGCCTCCTCATGCTGCTGCCAGGTCCAGTGTCTCTCATGGGTCCCTGTACGGCCTCCCATTGCTGCTGTCTCCATCGCACACACTCTGCCATGTGCCACTTTCAGGTCTCCTCACACACTGCTGGTGTGTTCCATTTTTTGTCATAGGGTGCTGGCAGATTACGGGCCTCCCATAGCTGCTGCCAGGCCCCTAATCTGCCATGGGCCCCTGTACCGCCTCCTCATGCTGCTGCCAGTGGTCCAGAGTCCTGCATGGGTCCCAGGCCTCCCCACAGTGTCTCATGCCCACTCTGCCATGTGCCACTTTCAGGTCTCCTCACACTGCTGGTGTGTTCCATTTTTTGTCATAGGGTGCTGGCAGATTACGGGCCTCCCATAGCTGCTGCCAGGCCCCTAATCTGCCATGGGCCCCTGTACCGCCTCCTCATGCTGCTGCCAGGTCCACAGTGTCTCATGGGTCCCTGTACGGCCTCCCATTGCTGCTGTCTCCATCGCCACACTCTGCCATGTGCCACTTTCAGGTCTCCTCACACACTGCTGGTGTTTCCATTTTTTGTCATAGGGTGCTGGCAGATTACGGGCCTCCCATAGCTGCTGCCAGGCCCCTAATCTGCCATGGGCCCCTGTACCGCCTCCTCATGCTGCTGCCAGGTCCAGAGTCTCTCATGGGTCCCTGTACGGCCTCCCATTGCTAGGCATCGCAGGGTCGCATGTGCAGTGTCAGTGGAGGCAAACGGCCACGGAGTACGGAGCACCATTGCTCCACAGCAGCCTACCACCACGGCCAGTAGTGGTGCCGGTGTGCACGGAGGAAGTAGCAGTCAGCCAGTGAGGAGTAGCGGGGCAAAGCTGGTGTGTTTCCTTTACTGTCATAGGGTGTGGCAATTTTTCGTCAAGCCGCCCGAGGAAGTAAACGTAGCCGTATGTCGACATGTGGCCAGAAAGTCAAGCGTGCCAGGGGCCCATGTTGGGACTACAGCATTGCGGCAGCATATGCAGCGTCGCCATTCGGTGGCCTGGGAAAACCGTGATAAAGATACGGCGGTTCTGCCTGCCCCAGCCCAGGGTTCCATTTTGTCATAGGGTGCTGGCAGATTACGGGCCTCCCATTGCTGCTGCTGCCAGGCCTTAATCTGCCATGGGCCCCTGTACCGCCTCCTCATGCTGCTGCCAGGTCCACAGTGTCTCATGGGTCCCTGTACGGGCCTCCCATTGCTGCTGTCTCCATCGCCACACTCTGCCATGTGCCACTTTCAGGTCTCTCCTCACACTGCTGGTGTGTTCCATTTTTTGTCATAGGGTGCTGGCAGATTACGGGCCTCCCATTGCTGCTGCCAGGCCCGTAATCTGCCATGGGCCCCTGTACCGCCTCCTCATGCTGCTGCCAGGTCCACAGTCTCTCATGGGTCCCTATACGGCCTCCCATTGCTGCTGTCTCCATCGCCACACTCTGCCATGTGCCACTTTCAGGTCTCCTCACACTGTGCTGGTGTGGGTTCCATTTTTTGTCATAGGGTGCTGGCAGATTACGGGCCTCCCATTGCTGCTGCCAGGCCTGTAATCTGCCATGGGCCCCTGTACCGACTCCTCATGCTGCTGCCAGGCCCGTAATCTGTCATGGGCCCCTGTTGTCGCTTGTTGGCATATTCCGCTCGTTCAGATGCTCCTTCTCCTGCTACTCCACTTCACGGATTCCGTCAGCAGTCTTTCTTGGAATCCGTTTCCAAGAGACACAGTTTGGTGTTGTTCCATTTTTTGACATAGGGTGCAGGCAGATTACGGGCCTGTCCAGTTGCTGCTGCTGCCAGCCTTCGTAATTTGCCATAGGGGCGCCCCTGTACCGCCTCCTCATGCTGCTGCCAGGTCCAGAGTGTGTCATGGGCCCCCTGTACCGACTCCTCATGCTGCTGCCAGGTCCCGTAATCTGTCATGGGCCCCTGTACCGCCTCCTCATGCTGCTGCCAGGTCCACACTTCAGCCATGTGCCACTTTCAGGTCTCCTCACACTGCTGGTGTGTTTCCATTACGGAGCCTTGCTCATAGGGTAATCTGCCATGGGATTACGTACCAACTCCTCATTGCTGCTGCCAGGCCCGTAATCTGCCATGGGCCCCTGTACCAACCTCCTCATGCTGCTGCCAGGTTGTGTGTCATGGGTCCCTGTACGGCCTCCCATTCTGCTGTCTCCATCGCCACACTCTGCCTGTGGCCACTCTTCACGGATCTCCTCACAGTCTGCTGGTGCCAGGTTCCATTTTTCATAGGGTTGCCCTGTACGGCCTCCCATTGCTGCTTGCAAGTCAGGCCCCGTAAGTCCTGCCATTGGCCCAACCCGAACTCCGACTCCTTGCGAGGCTAGCCAGGCCGTAATCTGTCATGCGCCCCTGTACCGCCTCCTCATTGCTGACTGCCAGTCCCAGAGTGTGTCAATGGGCACCCCGTACGACTCTCCTCATGCGTGCTGCCAGGCCCGTAACTCTGTCATGGGCCCCTGTTCCTGTCCTCCTCACAATGCTGCAGCAAGGTCCAGAGTGTTGTCATGGGTCCCTGTACGGTGGCCTCCCATTGCTGCTGCCAGGCCCGTAATCTGCCATGGGCCCCCGTACCGACTCCTCATGCTGCTGCCAGGCCCCGTAATCTGTCATGGGCCCCTGTACCGCCTCCTCATAGCTGCTGCCAGGTCCAGAGTGGGTCATGGGTCCCGTGTACAGGGCCTCCCATTGGCTTGCTGTCATCCATCGCCACACTCTGCCATGTGCCACTTTCAGGTCTCCTCACACAGCTGGTGGTGTTCCATTTTTGTCATAGGGTGCTGTATGGCCTCCCATTGCTGCTTAGCCTCCACCGCCACACTGTGCTCCACACTCTGGTTTTGGCCCGTGACTGCCCAAGAATGAGTGAAGTGTGCGGTGATCTAAGATCGATAACGGCACTCATACTCTGCATGTCATACTGACTGACAGTATTATTTCTCTTCCCCAAGCAGACTCCAAGGGCATTTAAATTAAAGGTACAGTGTTCTGCACTAATATAAAGGCTCTCTGAAGCCTAGAAGAAACACTTTTATAAGTTAAATTCGCAGCGAATATTTTCGACTCGAATCGATTTTTTTCCACGAATGTCGCCGCGCGTCAGCCGAATCGCGATGTTTGAATCTCTCTTCGCGATTATCACGGAATTACAGACAACACGGGGGGGGCACGGGGGCTTTGATCAAATGTAGGACAAATAGAGTAAAAGCCAGCCGCAACCTCGTCAACCTGAATGAAGCGCAAAAGCAACTTATGAAAGTCAAGACATCAGATACAAATACATGGGGAGAAACATAAATATCACGCGGCATAACATTAGAAACTACTTGTGCTGAGAATATATTGACATTTTGCTGACCTCCTTCTATAAATGCTGGTGGAACTGGCTGCCTCTGATTTTCAGTATTTTGGAAGGAAACCTGAAACAAGCCAAGCTACTAGTAAATATTCTTTAGGAAAGTGTTCAGCTTACTCCATGATCTCATGGTGCATTTTCTATCATCAAAACTTACTAATAACATGACCTATCCCCCGTCGTCTACATGTACTACTCCACCTTTTAGATCGTCCCCACGGTCGTCTTTTATATCTGACTACTATTTTTAGGATTCCTTAATAGCAACATCTAGCATTCCAATAAGGACCCACAGTTTCTATGGCTCTGGCCCCTACTTCTTACTGGCTTTCTGCACATTACTACTGAGGGCCCAAAGTGTAATGGCTTTAGCTGCGCCAAGAGGAGACATACCAGAGCCTAACTATGAAAATTGTGGTTGTGATTTGCACCCCTTGAGATTTATTGCTAATGAGACATAATAAAGCCATCCTTTCCATAACTTGCTTTTTTTTCACTCATCTAAACCAGTACACCTTGAAGGCACCTAAAACACCAGGGAAGTAG